TGAAACAAGTTGCAGATTCTCTTTGCTTTGATGGATCTGGATATTTACATGGCACTACAATTCATCAGCAGAGTTGCAGTTTGATCACAGAGCCATCTTTACCCTAGAGTAGGGATTGTTGCAGGCAACTTTTCGGCTAGCCTTCTCTGGTCTGGGAAGATTAGTGAAAGCATCATTGATGATTGATACAGTCTTGATAAACTCCAGATCCATGTGCCTTCTGGAATTCAATTGCATCATCATATCTTTGGGTTGCCAGGTCAAGATTGGCCTTTTGTACATGAGGAATATGTGAGAATGACTGTAATGTGTTCAAGGTAGCATGCATGCTTCAACACTTGTAAATTTCCGATAATCAAACATTGCATATTTGAATTGTTTCTTTTTCAACAGTCAATGCTGCCTTGACATCTTGTAATTAAATTATATTAATAATAGTATTATTATTACAATTACAAAAAGAAAAATACACAATCTTGATAAGAATCTTGTAATTACCCAGCAATGATCTGCTCTGTGTTTTGATTTCTAATTAAAATATTTATATAAAATAAAAGACACCACATTATATCAATACTATACATGAAGTCGAAACTATTTCAACCAGTTGCAGATCTGGTTGAATTAGGGTCAAAATAAGGTCGAAACTGATTTTTACTATCTAGTTGCCTCAAGTCAAAACATTTCGACTTTGGGGTTTTAATTTCGACTTCATGTATAATCAAAACAAATAAAAAAAAGTACCTCTGGTTAGTTATTAACACATATTCTTTAGGAGACCCAAACCAAACCAAACAACAACACTCACGTTTTGTCACCTTGGACACTGTCAAAAAATAAATTGCCTTTCCAAAAAAAAAAAAAAAAATCAATCAATTTGCGTCTGTCCTATATACCAAAAAAACCAATAGGATAAATAATTAATGTGTACGCATCGATCAAACCACAAACTTTTTTCTTTTTAAAAATGATGAAAAAAAAACAATTAAAAAAAAGAAATCGAGAAAAAGAGACCAAAGATACATATGGGTAAGTGTCTCCACTCATTAAAACGCAAAAGTCAAATTTTATATTTTATATTTTTATATAATGTCACATGCCAAATTATTATCATCACTATCATCAGAAAGAATGGAATTTGTATTTAAAATTAATGGTGAAATGCGTAATAATGCTGATGCTAATGAGAGAGAAATTAGAAAAGATTATTTTTTTTCATTAGTCAACAAAAACAAGAAGCTTTCTGAAAATGAAAAAGAATATTGTAAAGAAGATTTTATTTATTATTTTGAATTAAGTAATGCAAGAAATAAAAAGGGTAAGCCTAAAGAATGGAACAAGTGTAAATTGACAAGATAATCTGATAGGTTCTGTGAAGGTTGTATTAGTTTACAATTACAGAGACTTTTTACCACTTGGACATCTGGAAATAACATAATTGATGATTTTATTCAAAAATGTCAAATGAAATCATCTCTGCCAACTCATATTTTAGAATGGATACCTTTTGAGCAATTTGAAGATATTACAAAGTTAACTGAAGGTGGATTTAGTTCAATTTTTACTGCTACATGGATAAGAGGAAGAATAGCTGATTACAATGAAAATAAAAAGGAATTTAATTATTTAGGAAAGCAACTAGTAGTATTAAAAAGATTAAACAATTCAAGTAATCCAGGAAAAGCCTTTTTTGATGAGGTTGGTAGTTATCATTTAAAACAAAATAAACAATACTGTATTATATAATAAATATTAATCAGTTTTTATATTTAATTACAAGCAATGAATTATTGTAAATTTAAAACAGCATTTATTGTTAAGTGCTATGGTATAACTAGATTCCCAGATAATGGAAATTATGCAATTGTTTTAGCTTATTTACCAGAGGGAAATTTAAGGGACTATTTACAAAAAAATCACTTAAATTTAACACTAAAAGACAGAATTACAATCTTTGATTATTTATGAGATGCATTAGGTTATATACATGAAAAGGTTTAATCCATTGTGATTTACATACTGATTGCAAGGAGGTAATTATTTTATTATGGATTTAGGATTATGTGGACCAGTTGATGAAAAGTCATCAGATAAAGTCTATGGAATTGTATCATATGTTGCACCTGAACTACTTAGAGGCAAAAAGAATCTGATATTTATAGTGTTGGGATTATACATGCAGCCCAAATTGGTTTGGTGATTTTGATGGTCAAAATTATTTCAATTTTGATGGTAGAAAGTAGAAATTAATTACGGCATTCACTATTAAAAACATAAGTGTAACACCCCTTTACTAAATGTGTAACCCCTTTATGACAGTGTCAGAATACTTTGGGCTGCATGTATAGTTGGGATGTTAATGTGGGAAATATTTGCAGGTCATCCACCATTTGATGATAGAGCTCACAATTATTGTTTGATTTTTGATATATGTGCAGAAGGTTTATGACCACCAATATTACCTGGAATGCCTGAAGACTATGCACAAATGATGCAAAGGTGTTGGGATGTGGATCCATCAAAAAGACCAACTAGTAGAGAGCTTTATGATTTTGCTGATAATAAAAATAGCAAAATTATTAATGATGATGATAGCAGGAATACTACTAATGGCAGTGGTAGTGGTAGTGCTTTTCTACAAGCACACAAATCACATCCAGATGCATATCATAAAAGTAGAATATTAGATGAAGAGATTGCTAAATCTAAAAGCTTAAAAGGTTACACGAGTATTGATAGCTCATTAAATACTCTTGATTTTAACTCTTTCCTCTAAAATGTCAACAAAGGTAAATAAAAGTTCATTATTATCAGTTAATTGGAAATTACTAAAATATCAATTAATTAATTAATGAGTATTAGACTCTAGTAACAATAGTAAACAAAGAATTGATGGATGAGTAATTTAATCTCCACTATAAAATTATTCATTATAATTATTTATCTTTTATATTTTATCCTTATTTCGTTTCTTAAAACTAAATTATAATAATGTTTTAAAACAATAAACTTTTAGATTCTTGTCATTAAAGGCATCATTTTGGTTAATTAACAATCATGGTTCAACTTTTGGGTTACACTTTGTTAGTCAATTGCAAATAACTCAGTGCTTGTCAATAATTAGTTTACAAATTTACTTTAGTTCTCAATTACTGCCCCTTTCTTCCACCTAGACAAATCTGTGAGCTATAAATAAATAAGTATGACCTTTTTACAAAACTCAAGGGCTTCTATAAATTTCCTTTTATTCACTTGTGATTGATTTATTTCAGTCATTTACATTTATTGGCCAATTGCAATCTTGCTTTGGTTTATTGTAAATCAACTTAAGCAGCTTATTTAAGAGCCTCACGTTTACAGCTACAATAATACTATCAGTATTTCCGATTAACCTTTGGATGATACTTTATTAACCAATGTTAGTCCAAACCTTTGCTTAGCAATTAAGTTACTAATCGTTGTTAACACTCACTAATTAACCAATGTTAGTCCTAACCTTGCTTACTAAAGTAAATAAATATGCTTTTTACCAAAGCTTCACGACTGTTACCTTTACCAAGGCATTAAATACACTGTTGCTTTATCAAAGAAAATAAAGACAATTTTTTTATTTTTATTTTAAAAGTTTATTAACAGTTAATTTTATGATTCTATTACAGTTTTATTTTATTAGGATATTAATCATCTATTACTTTTCTCTGCTTTTTCCTTTGCGAGAACCCGAAGTTATCCTTCATTGATCACTACAATAAGGAAGATGAGTTTATTATTGCAAAGTAACTTAATCAATCAATATTGATGTTATAAAAACTTTCATGATTATTTACATGATAATTTGATAATGTACATGTAAACTCGATAAGTTGGTCATTTATTTATATTATCAACAATTGATTGCTGTGTTTACTTATCGAGTTTACATGCGTAATTGTAAAAAGCTTTTGCGTAAACTAAAATTAAACATAATATTAATAAAGTATCGAATCCCCTAACCAATGATTTTATCTATCCCGATCATGTATCACGCTATTAATATTAATGTAAGGAATGTTCAAGTTTAGTAAATGAGTGTGTGGGGAACTGGAAATTTATATTCAACAAAAAATATATATTACAAGTTTTTTTGTGGGCTTTCATATTTATCAGCCATTAAAGCAATTTTACTCGCGTCATTTTTGACTTAATGGTAGCGAATTTGACGTAATAGGTTTGCAACTTTGGTAACATTTCGTCAAACTATACTAGAGCTAATTCTATTTAGTAACAAATTAATTTGTTGTCCCGCATCAGAGAAAAGAACTGACCAAAATATTTTTTTGACTAAAATAGTAAGTATTGGGAATTTTTTTCATTATCACACACACCACCATTTTGATGCTTCATTAAGCAGTGAATATAGATGAGGAAGATAATAATAGTGTGTGGGTGAAGATAAGGAGCAGATTGTTGTGGTGATGGTGATGGGTTTAGATATTAAGACGTGAATGGTATTATTAATGATGATAACGGGATTGAATTATTATGTTTAATAATGGATTACTGTAATTATTATTATTACTAGAATGTGTAATGGATTTGTGAAATTAAAATTAAAATTGTTTCAAATATTCTTATTATAATTTATTTTATTGTTTTTGTTATATGCTTATAACGTTTAGAATGAAATATGTATGTTCATTTTAAAAACCAGCGACTTCTAATATTAAAATTGGTTCAAATATTACTATGCTATTATTATTACATATAGAATGAAATAGATATGTATGAATTTGTTCGTTAGGTTATGGCACTTATTATTATTTATTATTATTATTATTATATTATTTGTCTCCCTCATGATTTTTTTCGATTAAATGGATATTAATATATTTATAATAATAACAATAAATAAGTGATATTTTTTACCACGATCGCATGTTATTTTCCTAATACGACGTGATTTGCAAATTTATCTCTCGTGACCATTTAATAAAATTTAAAGTTTTATAGATGACGATGATCAAGGTCCATTAACACATAAATACTTCCAAGCTTTCAAGATAATAATAATAATAATAATAATGTGTGATAAAGAAGTCTTAAAAAAATTTTTCGACAGTGTAGACCAATCCAAAGATGTTTATGTTGAAAGGTTAAAAGAAGCAGTTGCAATTCCAAGGTAAAAAATACAAGAATTAGAATAAAGCAATTATAATATTAATTTAATTTAATTTAATTTTTTAATTATTTTTAATTATGAATAAACAGCGTAAGTGGTGATTGTCAATACCGAGATGATGTATTTAAAATGAGCGAATGGCTTGTTAAATTATTTCAAAAACTGGGTGTTAGGTTAATAATTAATTTCAAAAAAAAAACTCCAATGGCTCAAATAAATTATATTGTTAATGTTCATGTTCACGTTAAAATAGTTACGAAATTGCTGATATTGGTACTCATCAAATGGCAGGAAAGACTTTAAAGTTACCACCTATTTTATTGGGTACTTATGGAAATGATCCAAAGAAAAAGACTATCCTTGTTTATGGGCATTATGACGTTCAACCTGTAAGAATATTATATATTACGTATATTTTTTTGATAAAATTTGTCATATACATATATATCACTATATATATCATCTATGTTTAATATAATTAAGGCGTTGATTGAAGATGGTTGGGATTCAGATCCTTGGAAACTTACTACTGATTCTAATGGTCGTATGGTAGGAAGAGGCTCTTCGGATGATAAAGGACCAATCATTGGATGGTTAAATGCCATTGAAGCTCATCAAAAAGCAGGAATTGAATTTCCAGTGAATTTGAAAATTTGTTTTGAAGGTGATTTCTTTATTCAATTGTTGTTTTTATTCTTTGCTTGACAATATATATTCAATTCATTATTCTTTTAAATTAATAAAGGAATGGAGGAAAGTGGATCAGAAAATTTAGACGAATTGATTGCTAAAGAAGCAAAAAGATATTTTAAAGATGTGGATGCAGTTTGCATCTCTGATAATTATTGGCTTGGCGTAACTAAACCATGTCTTACATATGGACTTCGAGTAAATATCACATATTATATATTTATATTTTGTAAAGAAATTAAAAAATTCGAACGACTTTGGATAAATGAATATTTATTACTTTTAAATATATTCATAGGGAATTTGTTATTTTGAGCTTATTGTAAGTGGGCCTGGTAGAGATCTTCATTCTGGTGTTTTTGGAGGAACTGTTTATGAACCAATGACGGATTTGGTTTACCTTTTAAGTAAATTGGTAAAACCAAACGGCGAAATTCTAATACCTGGAATTTTAGACGACGTTGCAGCATTAACTGGTAAATTCTGTAATTAATTATTGAGGGAAGAAAAAATTCGTGTATTATTTTTGCAATTATAAATTTTAATATATATATATATATATATGTATTTATTTATAGATGAAGAAAAGGAAACTTATAAATCGATTGATTTTGGTATTCATGAATTGCATTCAGCTATTGGATCCAAAACTAGTCTTTTTGAAGATAAAGAACCAACTTTAATGAATAGGTTATTAATATTGTCATCATAATCGTCATCATCATTACTACTATTATTACTACTGTTAAAAATTTTATCATCGTTAATTATCATTATAGATGGCGTTATCCATCGCTTTCTTTACATGGTATTGAAGGAGCATTTTCTGCATCAGGCGCTAAAACAGTCATACCTTGCAGTGTCAGAGGAAAGTTTTCAATTAGATTAGTACCAGACATGGATCCTGAGCGAGTTAAAAATTTAGCGGAAGATTATTTAAGAAAGGAATTTGAAAAACTCGGAACTAAAAATCAATTTAAATTAGAGACCTTACATGGTGCAAAAGCATGGGTAGCAAGTCCAAATCATTGGAATTTTGGTAAAATATGAGCTTTTATTATTGATAATTGTTATTATTATTATTAAATTTTTTGGTTTTTTTTAGTTGCTGCATCAAAGGCTGTTGAATCAGTTTATAATTGTAGACCAGACTTTACACGTGAAGGTGGATCTATCCCAGTAACTTTGACTTTTCAAGATTTATTAGGAAAAAATGTTCTTTTACTTCCAATGGGTAGAGGCGATGATGTAAGTCCATATTATATTTTATATTTTATATTTTGTGTGTTTTCAAATAACATTCAACTTGAATATTTCTTGATTGACGGGGTTGTTTGATATCTGCTGATTGATTAATTAATTCGTTCATTCACTCATTCATTGAATAATATAGGGAGCTCATTCTACTAATGAAAAACTCGATTTATCTAACTATATACAAGGAATCAAATTGCTTGGTGCTTATTTACATGAAGTTTCAGCAATTAAAACTGATTAATCATTATCACCATTTGCTATTTATAATAACATTTTGTTAATTATTTAATAAATGCTATATATCTCATGATTAAGAAATAAGTTTGCTAAATAATTGTAAATTTAAGCGTGTATATTTTCATAAATGTGTTGTTTAATGGTTTTAGTCTGCTTCTTTTCAAATAATGGACAAGGTGACACAAATTGAACGTGATTCATTATAATATCTAGCGTTTAGAGGGGAACAGCATGAAATTTATATGGTAATAATATGATTTTTAACTAAATACTTTTTTGTACATCCTGGAGACGTGCAAACAAATCTTTTGCTACTTTAATCTATGATACTATGACTAGTGTAATTATTGTTAATATCAATATTATTATCAGTAGTGATGGTAAGTGTATAAGTGAAAGTAAAAGCAGCAGTAACATCATCAGATCGTCATTGTCATTAATATCTTTATCACCAGTTTCACTATTATTATCTTCATCGCTAATGTCACCAGCGCAACAATCATCTTCAATATAACTGTCATAATCATAATTACAATCATCATTGTTATTTTCATTATTATTTTTATCATATTTATAATTTTCTATGATTTTTTTGATTTTATCATCATTGTTATTAATATAGACCCAACAATCTATTATTTAACATTATAAAAAATATTTTAATATAAATAAAAAATAAAAATCAATTATTATATAATGAAAATTATGTACCTTTTAGATTGTTTTGAAAATTTTCGATATTGGAAATTTCAATAATATTGTTGTTCATACTTTTATTTCAAAAGAAAATTAAAGGAAAAAAAAGTATAATTTTTAAGTATGGTGATATAACTTGCTACAATTTATATGAATTATATATAATATGTACTTTATTGTAACAAGTTTACTGATTGACAAAATATTAATTAATTCATTATCTTTAATTCCTTTAATTCCAAAATGTTAAATTGACGCGTGACAGAAAATACACAAGTGTGGTCTATTCAGGGGCCCTGTTTAATAATTATTTCCTTCCCCTGACGCGTTTTATTTTCAAAATAGTTATTTGCTTATAAGTTAATTCTACTTGATAAATAGTGTGATATTAATAATATTGATAATAAATAACACAACAACAACATACTGAAATAATGTCAAATATTCCCACTACTTTTAATATTCTTCCTACGCCTGTTAAATCTTTTCCAGGTTCAAATACTACTGCTACTACTGTCAACACTGCTACTACTGTTAACACTGCTACTATCAACACTGCTACTACTGCTACTATTTCAACTGTAAATGATAATAGGTACAACAATTATAACAATAACCTTGACCATGAAAGATCTTTAATTGTTGATGGTAAGCAATATACATATAATTGTATAGATCAAGGAAAAGTATCTCAAATAAATATTTCATTTTTTTGTTGAATTAATAAGTCAATAATAAGGAATATATACAACTAACATCTTTAGTATCGTCACAATCTGATCTAATAGAATCTAATCATTATTATTATAACGATCACTGTTATAATGATGATGATGATAACTACACCAATAATCATATTTTCAATGAAAGCCCAACACCTTTTCGTAAAATTAATAATAATACGAACATCAACTACATCAAATATAATCCTAACATAGATATTGATCATTGTATTAGTATGAGAGGGGATTTACAAAATTTTATAAATATTGACAACAACAATAACATCAATCAAACACTAACAACACCTTTATTAAATGGCAATAATAATTATTACATAGAAAATAATAATTTTGATTATGATCATATGTTAAACAATAACAATAACAATCATGGCAATTCTAACAACATTATTATTAAAAATAACAACAATAACTATGATGCTAATAATGATGATCCTGAATTTATGCTGACCAGCAAACATAAACTTCCTGAAGTTTCAATGAATACTTGGACAAAAACTAGAAAATTATCTTCTTTACAAGATGTTGTTGAAGATGGTAATAATGATATTCTATTCATGAATTATAGTTGCAATAATAACAATTGTATTAATAACTTTGATGAAACTACATCATCAAGACCGTCTAATTATAATAATGATGGTGGTGGAAACTTTTACAATGGTAACAACAATAATAGTAGTAGTAGTATTAATGTGGAATTTTCAAGATTATCCACAGGATTCAAGGAAATCATTACTCCTACATTTAATGAACCATTGGAAAACCCCTACAAGTGTTTTGATGTTTCTGAACATTCTGCCTCTCTTCCTTTCAATAATACATCAAACAATTCTTCAGAAATCTCTGGATTTACCACGGGTTCTGGGAAAAAAATTGCTCCCATATCTAAAGAATCAAAGGAAAGAGCCTACAAGTGTTTAGGCGATTCTAAACACACTTCTTCTCCTTCTTCCGATAATATATTAAATACTATTTCTGGATTTTCGACTGGATTCAAAAGAAAAATTAAATCTATATCAAAAGAATCAATGAAGGTTTCCGAACATTCTTCTTCAAGCATTAAACCTTCAAAAGACAATGATATGATAAAAGTCAGAACCTCTTTAAAAAGCATTAATAGTAATAGTAACATTGACAATAACAAAAACAACAATTACCATAACAACAGCTCATTAATTGAAACATCAACTACTACAAAGAAATCAAGAAAAAATCAGCATTCAAATTCTGGTTCCAAGCATAATTCAAACAACTACAAAAAACCACCAATCAGATCTCATCAACCTAATCTGAAATTAAGAACTCCACTCAGGTCATTGCATTCATCACAAAATTTTAATAATTCAATGCCACAACCTAGCAAAAACAAAAACAAAAGCAAAAACAAAAACAAAAACAAGAATATAAAATCATTGTCTACATCATCACAAGTGACAGTCTCTCAACCAATTAATGATAACAATGATAACAATAAATTGTTTATTTTATCATCGTCTGTACCTAGAAACACCATTGGAAACATGGTGTATCATCATCCCTTAACATTTAATGAACAAGATTTATTAAATTTTGAAATAACACCGGATGTCTTATACATCAACCCATCAAATGCCACTCTTTACAATTTCACTTGGCCAAAACTTTTTTTAAAATCAAACTGCCAACAACAACAAAAAGCAACATGGGGTCCAAATGAAGCTCTGTCATGTTTAATTAAATGTGGTGCCAATCCTAACCTGATAGATCAACAGTGGGTATTGAATCATTACAAATGGATTGTATGGAAAATAAGTAGCATGATTAGATCATATCCTAATTTATTTCATTGTTGGTTATCATCTGATACAGTACTTGACCAATTAAAATACAGATATGAAAGAGAAATAAATCGTACACAAGGATCTGCTCTTAAATCAATTATAGAAGGGAATGCTTCACCAGCGTGGCCTATGGTTCTGTGCGTATCAGACATAATTGATGATAAAACCACTCCGTTAACACCACCGCCATTATCTTCTTCTTTTTCAATGTCACCAACACCACCATTTTCTCCTGTATCTCCACCTTTCTCCTATATACCAAATTCATCATCATCTGATAGAAAATATATTGATGGTTCAAAACTTTCATTGGAATTGACTGATGGTTGGTATAAAATAAATGCATGTATTGATCCACCATTACAACGAGCTATAGTGAAATCTAAAATAAAAATAGGTTACAAGCTTGAAATTTGTGGTGCAAAGGTTTATGGAAAATCTGTTGGCAAAACTTCAGCTTTAGATGAAACAAACTCCATATGCTTGAAATTATCAGGAAACTCGACGAAACTTGCCCATTGGGACTCCAAGCTTGGATTCAGAAAGTTTAGACCATTTGCTTCATTAAACAGCCTTACTCCAGATGGTGGATTTATTTTTGCAATTGATGTTATAATAATGCGAAAATATCCTTTGATGTACCGTGAAACAACTAAAGATGGAATATATATCATACGCAATGAAAAAGGTGAAGAGTTGGCTCGTAGAAATTTCGCAGAAAAGATACAGGGAAAGATACAATCCTTACTGCAAGACTATGATTGGAGATCGCCACAACAAGATTCTAATAAATTAGAAATAAATGATGACAATAATACTTCAGCAAGCAATGCCAAATTCAAACAACAGAAACAAGTAATTACCAAACAATTAATACAAAGTCTTACATCTGCAGAAGAATTATATAATTTATTGCAGAATAATAGCGAGTATTCTAATCGAATCATTGAATACTTGAGTTTTGATCAGAGTAGATGGTTGAATGATTGGTTGAATAGAAAAGAGATGAGTAATTTAAATGAAAGGAATAAGTGGCTTAATGAGCAATTGGAATCAGTAGATTTGAAAAGTGTTCGTTCTGTTATTCCATTCTTTAAAGTACGTGTGTGTGATTATCACAGTCAATCTAAAGCTATTAGAAAGGCTCAATCAAAAGTTAACAGAGAAGCATTGATCACTATATGGAATCCTGCTAGCTCTTTATATGATTCTATTCATGAGGGACAAAGATATCAGATACATTCGTTGATGGTAGCCAATAATCAATCATATGATCCAAATTTATCATCAACAATTTCTTTGATACATCTGACATCAATAGGACATACAACAATATGGAGAAAACAAAAGGCAGATTTAAATGAAATTAGGAATTCGTTATATAGACCACGGGCTGTTACGATTTATGACGAAGCGTACAGGATAAGAGCAATGACAATGACAATAAGAACGGGTCTAGTTCATCAATGTCAAGAAGAGCATGACATTGTGGTAGTTGTGTTGGCGGTCGGAGAAATAGTAGAGAAGATACGATATGGTATCACTATTGAAATACAAACTGCTATTGCCACAGATATCAGTGGACAGTTTGTGTTTATCGAATTCAATAAATCGTTTTTTATTGATTTAGATAATTTATTAATACCCAAGAACATATTGACTATTATTAACTTAAGACATGCTTATTATGATTCAAATTATAGGGTTCACATGCTTTCAACATGTGATGTGACAGTGATCAA